TCTTCTCTAGACCCGGTTCTATCTCGAACACGAAAACAAGAAATCTTTTACCGGAATTTCCGGTTCTCGCGGTCACGATTTTGCTCGTCCACTGATCGTGCGCCATTATGAGGTTATGCGACACACGCTGCTACGCATGCGCCAACGTCTGAACGGCTTAAAAAGAGCGTCATTGGAGGTGACGTTTCGCCGACATGACGCGAGAGATGACAGAGGGCCGCGTCTTAGGGTTCATCCTCAGTGACATGCAAATCGCGTGTTCACAGAAGAATTCGAACGGTTGACGTTCAACGAATATTACCTCTAAGATTTGTAAATTAGAATTCGATATTTTATATAATACATATTTCTTTTTTCATCTAGTGTGGCCATTTTAGGAACGCATAGTCGTAATTATGCGAAGTTTATGGCTTGGATAATGTGAATGCAATGGTACTCGCTGGCATAGTTTTAGGACTTAATGAAATTGTTGTTAAATTAATTTAACAAAACGGAAGCAACTTGCTGTCTAGATATTCAGAACGTGACTATGAAATGATGATGGTGTGGTGCATTTTGAATGCATAAATGTATTTAGGCTGATGTTGCATGTACATATATGCATATTACTATGTTATGTTCATTATTCTGGAATTGTTGAAAATTTAAGTACTACTTGAGAATTTAACCGATGTTTTTAATATAAAATGACGTCAAGGTTGGTAGGAATTCTGGGTTTTTCGAGGTTGTTTAAGAATAGCTTGGGACTCATGGAATAATTTAAAATTAACGAGGATCTGTCGAATATTGATATTTTCTTGGCAATAATTTAACCAACGTGACATTATAAAGACGAAAATATCAAAAATTTATATAACGAATTAAAGATCAAAGATCCAAAGGGTAAATAAGTTCGATATATACAGATATGCTAATATGTTTTCTATAATTATGAATTCTTTTATCGCAAAAAGGTAATTTAAAATTCTACGCACGATTGCGAATACGTAAATTAATTTTTTTTTAATAATAGAAGACTCACAGTCAAAATCCTGCAATTTATACTTCAGTCATGCACTATGTACTATATCCTTTCGCAACCTCTGTTTCGAAGTTTGTATATATTTAAAAATTCCTGTACTTCGTACATTTTTTCTTTTTAAGATTCTCTGTCGATATATTCCTTTATTTTTCACGACGAAGTATTAAACATACGATCGTTTAAATTTCCAAAATTTTCAATATCCTCGTTATTATCATAGTGTATATCCTAATTTTATTTTATTTACTTTTAGACCAAACTGTATATATTATTCGTTTCTATCACGTGTCACGTGCAACCGACTCCTCCCAGTGCCACAGTGAAATTATACAAATTTAGCCGAGCGATCAGCATGCCGAGCAATATACCTACATCTAGACCCAAGGTGGTGCACGTGGTGCACTCCTCATAACTATTCCCACAGTGCTGCATCATTGGATTTCCACCAGGCGCATTTTGGACGCGAGTCAAACGCCCGAGTAACGTCTGGAGCACGTGCCTGTTGCCAACAGAGACACTTTAATCCGGCGTCATCCTTCGTAGGAATTTCCCTAGCTAGATTCCTAACCACGCCACCGTAATTACACTCGTTCCACAAAGTGAGAAACCGCGAGGCGTGCAACGAAGAAGTGTTCGACTTCTCTGTGCTGCAGCCAGCGCTAACCTCAGAGCGCAATTTCGTATCTCCCTGGTGACGGTCGTCCTTTCACGGTCGAAGAGGGATCGCTCGAAACCAGGTCGCACGTGAAGCATCTCCGCGAACAGAATGATCAATTACGAGACAGATGACTTTGCCATGCCCTGTTTCCTCCGGCGACGACAACCCACATGACGGTCCGCTCGTGACACGTCTCTTTGGGAAAACAGGCGTCTGTCTAGCTTCTTCGGTACTTTGCCGTTCTTCTCTTTGCTCGGTGCCGCTGTGGAAAGCCTTTCTCTGCGAATCCATTCAGCCACTGACTGAGTTACACCTGGCGATGTAGATAAAGAAAATTTGATCGTCCTTCTATTTATTCGGTGACGCGATGGCGAAAGACTTTCTCGGATTTCTGACAAGGTGATTCAACGTATTCCGACTGTCTTACACCTGGTGACGTAGATGGCGAACGTTTGGTTGTCCTTCTGTTTATTTAGCACCTCGATGGGAATGATTTTCCTCTGTTCCTCATAAGGCGATTCGACAACGCAGTTCGACTGTCTTACACCTGGTGACGTTGACAGTGAAAATTTGATCGTTATTCTGTTTATTTGGTAGCTCGATGGAGAACGACTTTCCTCTATTCCTCACTAGGCGATTCAACGCAGTTCGACTGTGTTACACTTGGCAATGTAGATGGCAAAGTAAATGGCAAACGTTTGGTCGTCCTTTTGTTTATTGGGTGTCTCTATGGAGGAAGATTTTCCTGGATTCCTCACAAGGTGATTTAACGAAGTTTCACTGTCTTACATCTGACGACGAAGACAGTGAAAATTTGGTTGCTCCTCTGGTTATTTGGTACCTCGATGGATAACGACTTTCTTCTATTCCTCACAAGGCGATTCAACGCAGTTCGATTGTGTTACTCTTGATAATGAATACGGCGATGTAGATGGCGAACGTTTGGTCATCTTTTTGCTTATTCGGTGCCTCAGATGGAGAAAGACTTTCCCGGACTCCTGACAAGGCGATTCAATGCAGTTCGACTGTCTTACATCTGACGATGTAGACAGTGATATAGAAGGTAAACACTTGATCGTCCTTCTGTTTATTCGGTGCCTTAATGGAGAAAGATTTTCCTCGATTCCTCACAAGGCGATTCAACGCAGTTCGACTGTGTTACACTTGGCAATGTAGATGGCAAAGTGAATGGCAAACGTTTGGTCGTCTTTCTGTTTATTGGGTGTCTCAATGGAGAAATATTTTCCTCTATTCCTCACAAGGCAATTCAACGTAGATTAACTATCTTACATCTGACGATGTAGATGGCGAACAATTGGTCGTTCTTCAGTTAACTCGATGCCTCGGATGGAAAAAGACTTTCCCGCATTTCTGACAAGCTGATCCAACACAGTTGGACTGTGCTCTATCTAGCAATGTAGATAGCGAACGTTTGGTCCTCCTTCTGTTTATTCGGTGACTCAATGGAGAAATATTTTCCTCTATTCCTCACATGGCAATTCAACGTAGATTAACTGTCTTACATCTGACGATGTAGATGGCGAACAATTAGTCGTTCTTCAGTTAATTCGATGCCTCGGATGGAAAAAGACTTTCCCGCATTTCTGACAAGCTGATCCAACACAGTTGGACTGTGCTCTACCTAGCAATATAGATGACGAATATTTCGTCGTCCTTCTATTTGTTTAGTACCACGATGGAGAAAGACTTTCCTTGGTTCCTCAGAAGGCAATTCACCGCAGTTCAACTGTCTTACATCTGCCTATGTAGACGGTGATATACAAGATAAACATTTGATCTTCATTCTGTTTGTTCCGTCCCTCAATGGCCAAAGATTTTCCTCGGTCCCTCACAAGGTGATTCAACGCAGTTCGTCTGTCTTACACCTGGTGATATAGAAAGTAAACATTTGTCAGTCATTCAGTTTGTTGGATACCTCGATGCAGAAAGACTTTTCTCTATTTCTCAGAAGATGATATAACGCAGTTCGACTGTCTTACATCTGCCGATTATAGATGGCGAACATTCGGTCGTTCTGTTTACTCGGTGCCTCGATGGAGATAGACTTTCCTGGACTCCTGACAAGGTGATTCAACGCAGTCGAACTTTGTTACGCCCGGCGATGTAGGTGGCGAACGTCCGTTTGCATCCTAATGGCCCGTTGGGAAAAATGGCACCCGCGATTGGCATTGTGGCAGTGCAGTTAGGGAAACGGTACTCTGGAATTCTAATGGAAGAGAAATTTGATTGCGTCTCGCTTAACCACTCGCGTGAGAACGTTTTCCTGTATTTAAATCTAGTAATTGGCGAGTATAATGGAGTTTCCAGTGACTGCTGCATCATGTCCCCATGCGTTTCCGTGGTTCTTCAAGCTCGATTTTAATCAAGGATTTTCGCTTGCCTCGAATGCAATTCGTATTACTTTGGTTTAGTATTTTGATTCTTATTTTGACGAGTATAATGGAGTTTCCAGTGATTGCTGCATCATGTCCCCATGCGTTTCCGTGGTTCTTCAAGCCCGATATTAATCGAGGATTTTCGCTTGCCTCGAATGTAATTCGTATTACTTTGATTTAGTATTTTGATCCCCATTTTTGATTCCTTTTAATGCCTAAATGGTCGTCGTAAAACAATCTAGTTACCTCGTATTCCTGTATTACTTTCGTTTAAATGATACGTTAACGTTAGAATTCTTCTTGCAGAAAATTTATAATCTAAACTGTGATGTGCAAAGTGTGTTCGTACAATCGACCATTGTTTTTAATAATTTAATTTCATACTCCGATTGGAATGTTTCCAGAGCCGCGGCATGCTTGACGACTATCATCAAAAATACCGGAAATGTTGAATTATTTAAACGACTTTATGGATTGTGACGATGGTAACATTTGCTGCTTGAGAAAAGGAAAAGACGTGTAGTAATTATATGATGTAAATATATGATGTAAATGAAAATTGAGATTATATCTATAGGAAGGCTCGTAGAAGATGACAAACAGAATATTCTTAAGTATGAGATAACTCGTAGGTTTTCCGAGCTAGACGGGAAGTTGACTGCAATTAACTCGTGGTTGGCAGACATAGTATTAATATCAAACATGCATAATTTATTTAAATAATAGTATATAAATATAGATAACTATTCGAATAGCTATCTTGATAATATTATTTCTTAATCATTTTTACCATCGTTAGAGTATTATATTGTAACGGTAAAGTGGTTATAATAATATTATAATATTATAAATACTATTATGACAGCATTATTTAATAATATTATAAAATAAATCGATCATTTATTTTCCGTTCATTCTTTTCCAGAACCATCGAGCTGATCGCTCTGATCGCGATTTCCAGCACTCTCTTCCTCTTCCTGCACACCAGGGAGCTGCACTCACGTCTGCGAAAAATGGAGGTTCGCCTCCAACCTGGCGAAGACGAGATGCTGTCGGCGAATCAACTCTCATCCGGTGAGTTTTTCATTTTACTCCATCTCCTTGAACTTTCTCGACCGATCACACGAACGCAATATATCTTCCTCGTCGATGATCCCTCTTCGAAACTTGATATGTGTCTCGAGACTTCCATTGCCGTTCCGTCGATAAACACATCCTGCGATATTTTATTGGGAAAAGTATGCTATTCCGAATCAATTGGAAAGTTGTCGCATTTCTTTGCTAAAACGTCGCCGACTCGCGATTATTCGCAGGCTGAAAGGTAACTTTCCCACGGGAAAAGCAAATCGTTTCCATCCATCGTTAGTACAATACTATAGTTTTCACAATACTATAGCTAATTTTCTTCTATACTACTCTCGGCGAAATTGAACAAAAATTATTAATATTGTAGGATGCAAAAGGCAGGTTTTATTGTCTTCAACGTACAGGAATTAAATATTTATATGTTCCCTGTTTAATCGAAGGAATATCGGGAACAATAGGAACAGAATAATACGAACACTAAACTCGGAAAACTAATTTAGGAAAATTAGGACTAACTAATTTAGGAAATTCAGGAAAAGAACACTAAAATAACGTAACTATAACACAAGGAAGCATACTCTAATTCGATTCTCTTCAACACCGAACGACTCACGCCCGTGTCAGTCACAATCTATTTCTACGAAGACTCTTCAACGCTTCTTCGCTAAGGACTCTGCTTGTGTCGTCGAGGGTCCTGTTTCCATGCTTTTCGCAAAGCTCAATCGCGTGCTTTCTCTAATTGCTAATTGGCTGATACGATTCAGTCCATTAGTGATTTGCTTCCTGTGACGATTACGATTTCGTTGACCTGCGTTTCACCTGCCCGTAGAGACCACGGAACTTAGCTTTCCTACCAAAAATAGGCTTTTATAATGGTATTTTTCTCTATTTGCTTCTAGAAAATTTCACGCATAGGTCATCGATCGGTTTATAATTTGTTCTTTTCTAAAATAAGAAATAAGAATCGGCAGTGGTCTTGGAAACACCCTGATGAGAATTGTCAAATGTTAAATGTGAAAGCAGCGGGGCCCTCAAGAAAAATTCTAGAAAATTTCACGCATAGGTCATTGATCGGTTTATAATTTGTTTTCTCTAAAATAAGAAATAGTATCTCTCCTTAAATAGAATCCTATTATACTAATACTACTAATATTATTAATACTAATATCTAGTCCTTCACATTACCATTTGTTCATCGACACCGAAGCAGCAAATTGAACTCAGATCACCAAAATAGATCTCCATTCCACATTCGCTGATTTAAAATAAATAATACGGTATTTAAAAATTATTGGTCAAGAATATCTTCTTCAATTTTTCCAACACGTTTCCTCGAAACACCCTGATGAGAATTGTCAAATGTCAAATATGGAAGCAGCGGGGCCCCCAAGAATCGCGGGGATCAGCATAATCGCGAGACGGTAATTAAAGCAGAGGTACGGCGAAAAGTGGCAATCTTAATTACCTGAGAAAAATGCTACCCCTGAGGTACAAAAGCTCGTAAGGTTGCACGTCGTCGGCGCGTACTTAATCACGCCTTTCAGAAATCTGAAATCGTGTTGGAACATCCTCGCAGTGGTTCTCCGGCATGGTGATTAAAAGCGGAGAAAAGGTTGCTAGCTTTTAAAAAATTTCGTAAATTGGAACGGAAGACAGACGCATGCGTCCTTTGGACGCGAATAAGGGAGGGCGGACTTCCCGGTTGAAGAAGGTCAAGGTGTGAGAGCGAACGCACAAAGAGTCAACGTCGCAGGGATCGTGCGTTTCGCTCGTGTGTATCGTTAGATCGTTATCGTTCCAGCTCGTAGCATTTCGCATTCGCGAGATACGTAACGGTATCGGGGCCCTCGTTTGCCCGTAACACGCTAATTAGCCGCTCCGGATCCACCGCGTCGAGTCGTTCTGATTCCCTTCTTAATGCGGCTACTGTTCCCAATTTGTTGCGCCGCCGTTTTACGATCGGATCGATTAATCGTCCTCTCTCCTTCCTGGAACTGGGAACAATCGCTTAGACGCGCACCGCTTGATAACGTTCCTCTATACAGCCTAGATAGGGCATACAGGGTTCTTACGCGCCAGCCTCGGTAGATGTGCTTTTGCCGATGTTCAATCAGTTTTTAGTTAGCCGGTTAGACCTTGCTTTATCAAGTTCTCATGCAGAACCTCGCGTGACTAGGAGGTCTTATCAATTTTTACCTGATTTACCCAGGTTTTCGTGTGATTAGTTTTATTTAGGGAGATTATTATTAGAATAAATTAGAGTATTAAAGTACTAAAACATTGGAATGGTAGATTGTTAGGTTATTGGGATATTAAGATTTTAAAATAGTAGAAAACTGGAGTATTGGAATATTTATTTATTTATTTGTTTATGGTAGGTCATCAATTTTTACCTGATTTACCCAGGTTTTCGTGTGATTAGTTGTATTTAGGGAGATTATTATTAGAATAAATTAGAGTATTAAAGTACTAAAACATTGGAATGGTAGATTGTTAGGTTATTGGGATATTAAGGTTTTAAAATAGTAGAAAATTGGAGTATTGGAATATTTATTTATTTATTTATTTATTCGTTTATAGTAGGTCTTATCAATGTTTACCTGAGTTACGTGATTAGTTGTATTTAGGAAGATTAATGTTAGAATAAATTAAAATTGGTGTTAGGATGTTAGGGTATTGGAGTATTAAAATGGTGTAATAGATTGTTAGATTATTAGGATATTAAGATTTTAAAATAGTAAAAAATTAAAATATTGGAATATTTATTTATTTATTTGTTTATGGTAGGTCTTATCAATTTTTACCTGATTTACCCAGGTTTTCGCGTGATTAGTTGTATTTAGGAAGACTAATATTAGAATAAATTAGAGTATTAAAGTACTAAAACATTGAAATGATTGATTGTTAGGTTATTGGGATATTAAGATTTTAAAATAGTAGAAAACTGGAGTATTGAAATATTTATTTATTTATTTATTTGTTTATAGTAGGTCTTATCAATTTTTACCTGAGTTACTCAGGCCTTTGCGTGATTAGTTGTATTTAGGAAGATTAATATTAGAATAAATTAGAGTATTAGAGTATAAGAATATTAAAATGGTAGATTGTTAGGTTATTGGGATATTCAGATTTTGAAATAGTAGAAAACTGGAGTATTAGAATATTTATTTATTTATTTATTTGTTTATAGTAGGTCTTATCAATGTTTACCTGAGTTACGTGATTAGTTGTATTTAGGAAGATTAATGTTAGAATAAATTAAAATTGGTGTTAGGATGTTAGGGTATTGGAGTATTAAAATGGTGTAATAGATTGTTAGATTATTAGGATATTAAGATTTTAAAATAGTAAAAAATTAAAATATTGGAATATTTATTTATTTATTTGTTTATGGTAGGTCTTATCAATTTTTACCTGACTTACTCAGGCTTTTGTATGATTAGTTCTATTTTGGAAGATTAATATTAGAATAAATTAGAATTGGTTTTAGGATATTGGTGTATTGTAATATTAAAACGATAGATTGTCAAATTATTAGGGTATTAAGATTTTAAAATAGTAGGAAACTAGAGTATTGAAATTATTTATTTATTTATTATATATATAAAATAAAAATGTACTTAAGATACACAAGTTTACAGAGTTATTCTATTGAGAGAAAGAGAGCGAATTAATTGAGGTCTGAAAAATCGTCTAAGTTTCGTTGATTGTAATAATCACTCTATTAATCTAATTAAAAATATTGGGATATATATCACAAATATATAAAATAATATGGAAAATTGGAATGGAAGGAAATTCGAGGCACACGATTATCACAAAGTAGTGAATCTATTGGATATATATCACGTCGATTCACGAGAATTATAGGCTGTTTCCATAGGGGGTTGTTCTAGCGGGGGGTAGTTTCAGGAAAGTGATTTGTGGTGCCAAGTAAAATGAAATTTATAGAGTCGAAATCCTCGTGGGTGTTTAAGTTTCAGTCTCTACCTTGAAAATAGGGCTACCTCCAAGATGGTACATAGATGCAAAATAAAAAGCTATTTAATTCACTCTCCCTCGAAATTACTCTAATTCCTAAACAATTCCTATTTTTCATCGAGGAATTTCCAAGTCCAGATACATAATAAGGTTTCCCAATTAAAATTCTGTCGATGTCTCACGAGATCATCATCGCGTCTACGTGCATCTTACCTGACCCTCTTCTCGAGTATGCCTTCTCATTTTTATACTGAAATAGGTTTCCATGACAGAGAGAGAGTTTCACTGATTCTGCTAAATCGTTCATATGCAAAGTTATGCAAATACTTGGCGTTTTTAAAAGACTGAGAAATTCTATGACACGACGCCTGCAGGTTTACATTGAGGTCGATGATGTTCATTTCGAGAATTTCGTTATGCAGGTAACAGTCTGCACGTCGCTGGAATATAAAAGCTAGCTGGAACTAGAGAATAAGGTTAGATAGAACGTAGTTTCGTATGAAACGTTCATCCACATAACTCCAATATGGACTCCACGTATTATGAAACATTATACAGAAAAGATCGAAGAGATTAGGATGTAGATCGATGGAATCATCATTTTTCCTGGGAGTTTTCTTTCAGCATATGTTAGAGAAAAATATACACTCGCTTTCTATCGATTTTACATTTTAAATTACCCGTGTACCGACTGTTACTAATGAATAATAATGTTTGCTAAGGAAATTAATTTTCCTCCGCGATCTTTCACTCGGATCCTAAATCAAAGGTACCGAGAGAAAGCAGCCTTACGAAAGTGTACTCGTAATTCCAGTTAACCCTTAATAACATCTTCTAAATTAACAATTACAGTGGTACAGTTAAATTACATGGTAAATTATGGGGTAAAATTTAATACCGAATTACATTCAGCGAATTAACGTTGCAAATTGTCTGGCGCGCAATCAAGATCAGGTGAAGGAACTCGAACACCTACCCTGATGCAAATTAAACTGTATAACGAGATT